ACAGCCTTCCCCACGGGCCTCCCCACGGCCCTCCCCACGGCCCTCCCCACGGGACTCCCCACACCCCGGGCCCCCAGCGGCCACAGAGGCAGCGGCCAGGGGTGGATACGGTGGAGGGAAGGCGGGCTCTCGAGAGGCGGTGCTTCCGGGTCGGAGAGCGTGCAAGATGGCTGCGCCCATGGAGCTCTTCTGCTGGGCTGGGGGCTGGGGGCTGCCGTCTGTGGACCTGGACAGTCTGGCTGTGCTGGTGAGGGATGACGCAGGCGTCCTCTGATATGCCCTGGAGGGCTGGGGAGGGGTCCCGAGCTTTGCCGGGGGCTCCCAACACGAGCCTCCTGAGAGAAACTGAGGCAATGGAAGGCCGACGTGGGCTCAGTGCCTTACGCTGTGGTTTCCTAGGATAAATTCGTATAGCTGTGGAAGTAGGTTTGCTCAGGGTTTCAGAAGATGGGTACACCTTGCCTGTCCATTTATTGGCTGTATGACCTTGGGGTAATCCCTTCTGGACGATTTCAGTAATCTGCCCTCCCAGCCCGCTTCACCCTCTTTTTCACTAAGAATTTATTGAGTCTAGTTTTTGTCCACCGTCGACAGCCCACAGTCGGACTGTAGGAAGGGCTTTGGAACTAGACAGATCTGCTTCATTTCACTCAACCTCTTCCGGATTCTAAAAGTATTTGTTATGCTTCTTACAATGTCAAACATTGCCTTGCAGTAAGACTTTGACCCCTATGTCAAAGTTGTCCACAGAAAGGCAAACATGTAAGCAGATGATAAAATTCTCAGGTATATGATGTCAAAGTAGGAACAGAGCATAGAGACTGCCGAAGTAAGTCATTACTTCCAGGAGAAAGGATGTTAGTTAGGAAAAGCTTTTGAGAGTAGGTTTTGCAATATAGATGGCAGAAGGAGAGATTTGTTTGTTTGTTTGTTGTTTCTTTGTTTTGGTTTTTCGAGACAGGGTTTCTCTGTGGCTTTGGAGCCTATCCTGGAACTAGCTCTTGTAGACCAGGCTGGTCTCGAACTCCAGAGATCCGCCTGCCTCTGCCTCCCGAGTGCTGGGATCTAAAGTGTGCGCCACCAACGCCCAGCCAGAGGGGAGATTTTCCTGATGTGTAACTGTGGATGTGGACATAGGAACATGTCCACAATCTCCGAGTGCTGTTTGCCCACTTGTAAATGGGAATGGCTCCCTCCTTCCACCTTGCTCTTGGTATAAAAGTGCTCAGTATAGCTCATGGCACATGATATGTTGACTTTGGGAAGGCACACCTCCTCTCTACCTTCTGCTTCCTTCTCTGCAGACCTATGTCAGATTTACAGCCGCACCACTGAAAATACACAAGATCAGCAATCCTTGGCAGAGCCCTTCAGGTATACAGTGTCCCTGTAAGGAAGAGTGCCAGGGGAGGAGCAGGAGACTGGAATGTGATGCAAAGAAGCATGTATGGGCAAGCTAGGATCTTGTTGACATACTTTTTTCTCAATATCAGGAACTCTGCCTGCCCTTCGAACCAGCACTGGAGAGGTGATCTCAGTAGCACAGAAGATCATCACCCATCTTCGTAAAGAGGTAGGTGGTTTGATTAGGGGCTGACAATGAAAGAAATCCAGCCCATTCAATATAACATTTATTGAACACCAAACACATGCCAAGCAAGATAAGCAGTTGGCCAGATACTAAACTTAGAGAGCTAGGGGGCAGGGCAGCCTGAGAAATCGTATTTCTTCTGAATGCTGGGCAGAGAGGGAGGAGAAATATGGGCTGATGACACGTGGGAAATTAAGAGTAGAGAACAACAATAGGCTTTGGAGAGGCCCTGAAAAGAGGAACTGGGAAGGAACTTCCAGTAAAAATAGGCATGGTAGTGCATGCATATAATCCCAGCACTCGGTAGAGGCAGGATGATCAGAAATTTAAAATCATCTTTGGCTGTGTAATGTGTTTATGGGCAGCCTGGGATACATGAGATGTTGTCTCAAAAAGAAAAAAAAAAAAGTCAGGAGTGGATATCTTTACTTGGAAGGCAGAGGCAGGCAAATCTCTGTGAGTTGAAGGTCAGCCTGATCTATATAGTGAGTTTCAGGCCAGCCAGGACTAGATGGTGAGACCCTGTCAAAGAAAGAGTAGAGTCGGGGAGGGAGAAAGAGAAAGGAAAGAAGGGATTTCTAAGGGTTATACCATTTTTTATTTAACTTTATTTTATGTGTGTTGGTGTGAGGGTGACAGATCCTCTGAACTGGAGTTACAGACAGTTGTCAGCTGCCATGTGGGTGCTGGGAACTGAACCCCGGACCTCTGGAAGAGCAGCCGGTGCTCTTAAATGCTGTCATCTCTTCAGCCCCCCTAAAGATTATATCTTATTTATCCTGGAGAGAGGTAGACAAAGCTTAGTGCTAAGCTGAGGAATTTGGAAGAGAATTACCAGAGAGTGGGAGGTTCTTCTGTCATATTGACTGTGATATGGGAAAGTAATTTCACTTTCCAAAGGGCATGAGCCCTTCATCCCAAAACTTGGGAGGCAGAGGTAGGTGGATCTCTGTAGAGTTCAAGGTCAGCCTGGCCTACAAAGTGAGCTCCAGGACAGCCAGAGCTGTTACATACAGAAACCCTGTCTCAAACAAAGCAATAAAGTCTTGTTTTTGTTTTTAAACATTTATTTATCTTGTGTGTGAGGGTGTATGTGCACACATGCTGCGGAAATGCTTGAGGAGGTTAGAGGACAGCTTCCTGGGATGATTCCTCTCCTTTCACTATGTGAGCTCTTGGGATGGGACACAGGTCGTCAAACTTGATAGAAAGTACATTTACCTGCTGAACTGACTCACTGACCAAAACTCTTCACTTGTAAAACCAGGGGGCTTAGCCAACATTTAAGAGGTCTGGCATCCAAGAGGGAACATATAGTCAGAAACAGGATCCTCTTTCTCATTTTTACTTTCCAGGGAGCTGGGAAAATATTGAAGCTTAGAGGCTCAGAGAAATAGAATCCAGATAAAAGCCAAAGTTCCTGGCAGGATCTGGGTTACTGCCTTGATTCTTTGCATATAAACACAGCCTTTTCAGTTTCCAAAGTGTTTTTTCCTAAATTATTTCCAAACCCAGCCACATTGAGAGAAAAAGATTACTATCTTATTCCATAAAGGAGAAACTGAGGTTCAGGGAAATTTAAGAGTCATGCTCAAGAGGTTATGTGGGGACAAAGCTTTCTTAGTAGGTTTAGGGGGATACTTAGGGACAGACTGAAGCCTGGAACAGTGGGCCACACTAAGAGATGAGGCTGCTGGTGGGATATATGTGCAGTGATGGCACGTAGACTTTGGAATGAAACAGAAGAGATAGCCAAGAGCTCGGTCATGAGAGGCAAGCTGGAGCTGGGCATCAATTTACTGGGTTCAAGGAGGGTAAGGATGGTGCCCCATAATTTCTAAGTCATGGGCTGAGGCCCAGCCCACAGTTGAGCTCCACTTTGCTAGCTCTGTGGTGTCTGGATCAGGAAGTTACTGTTAGAAAGTTGCTCTCTGCGGGCACACTGCCAGCTTTCCGTGGAAACTCTGGGAGCTGCTCCCACTTTGTGGCCAGGCCTTCTTTCCACCCCCAGTGGGTGACGGACTTTGACAGCCAGTGGGCTCCAAAGCCTAGGCTCACTGCCAACAGCAACAGGCTACTGGCTGGGCTGAGGTGAGGAGACCTCAGTAGGAAAAGCTCCCTATTGTACCTGCACTCTACACAGAGGCTAGTGCAGGAGCCATTCCTTCCCTACTGAGAAAGTGCCTCTCCAGCCTTTCAGTCTTCACCCCGTGAACATTTCTTCCACAGAAGTATAACGCTGATTATGATCTGTCAGCTCGGCAAGGAGCAGATACCCTAGCCTTCATGTCTCTGCTGGAAGAGAAACTACTCCCTGTGCTAGTGAGTACACCCAGACCCAGTGTTGACAGCCTGTGAGAAAGGGGCCAGAGACACACATACATCAGAGTGGCTCATAGGCGGGCGCACCGGCTCAGATTTTCTCTTCCTTTCTGTCTGTCCAATACAGATACATACTTTTTGGATAGATGCCAAGAACTATGTGGAAGTAACCCGGAAGTGGTATGCAGAGGCTATGCCCTTTCCCCTCAACTTCTTCCTGCCTGGCCGCATGCAACGCCGGTACATGGAGCGGCTACAGCTGCTGTGTGGCGAGCACAAATCAGAGAGTGAGGAAGAACTAGAGAAAGAGGTAACATTGGAACAAATGAGATGAACCCCACAGATAATGGCTAAGAGTGAGAATGTCCACAATAGGGAGTGCCGCAGCTCCCCCAACCACATTCTTTTCTTTTCTGCAGTTGTATCAAGAGGCTCGGGAGTGCCTAACCCTTCTCTCTCAGCGCCTGGGTTCTCAGAAGTTCTTCTTTGGCAATGCGTGAGTCTAATGCCAAGGGGAACAAATGGATGTTTGAAGAAAATACAGGTTCAGGTGTCAAAGCCTGAGCTGGGGTGTGAACAAGAAGTTCTTAGGACAGACACTGTCTCTGGTGACGGGGGGCTGCCTGTGGAGCTAGAACCTCCTTGGTGGTACAGGAGGGTGGGATGGGAGAGCAGCCAGGCACAGGAGACTGTTGGGCTGTTGGGCACTCAATGTATCCTTTATACAGTCCTGGGATAGAGAGAGCTTCATTCAGGGCCAGGCTGGCGCCACCTGGGAAAAGTCCCCTTACCAAATCCAGAGCTAGGTGTCCTGCCCCTCCCCTGGTGACCCCTTGCTGCCCAGAGCCTACTCCACTAAAGCACTTTTCCTCTTGCTCCATGTGACCCCTCTGCATAGTGGCCCCACTTCCGCCCCACCTTTTCTGTCTTTCCAGCCCTGCCTCCCTGGATGCCTTTGTTTTTAGCCATTTGGTCCTGCTGCTGCAGGCAAAGCTGCCCAGTGGGAAGCTGCAGGCCCACCTTCGTGGGCTGCACAACCTCTGTGTCTACTGTACCCACATCCTTAACCTCTACTTTCCCCGGGATGGAGGTAAGGAACAGATGGGGAGAATGGGCTGGGCTCCAAGGACTAGCTCCCTTGCCCACTTTCCTTCCTTGCCTCCCAGCTGAGGTGCCACCTCCACAGCCGACACCAGCAGGCCCTGAGACTGACGAGGAGCCGTACCGGCGACGGAACCAGATTCTGTCTGTGCTGGCAGGGCTAGCAGCCATGGTGGGCTATGCCTTGCTCAGTGGCATTGTTTCTATCCACCGGGCAACCCCCACTCGGACCCCAAGCACCCGGGCCTTGGGCATGACTGAGGAGGATGAAGAAGAATGATGTATTCGTGCTCTTAGGACTGATACTGTCATGCATTCCAGATGCCCCTTTGTCTCCCCATTGTTGGAGCAGCCAAAAATGGGGTGCTATCCCTAGAATAAAACTATTTACACTGAGATCAAACATTTTCTTCTTTATGGTGCTGCCATTTCCCTAGCTGCTGCAATAAGAATGCTTAGGTGTAGACAGTGGGTTCTAAAACTGCTTCAGTCCTTATGCTGCCTTAAATTGCCTCTCTGCATAGATCCAACTTCCCAAGTTAACCCCTACACCTATCTTATATTTGACAGACAGGGAACTCACCCTGGACTTAGGCCCAGTTTCCACAGGCAACTAGCACATGGCACACATTTTACAAGCATGGGGAATTGGGAGGAAACTAGGGCTTCCCACCCCTAGCATATACTAGAAGGGAGAATAAGGCACCCACACCATGACTCCTGTGCCTGTGTCACTGTGAGGTCACCCAGGCCCTGCTGTGCCTTTAGTAACAGACAGCACATAAGCTAACTCTTCCCCTTTAACGTCCATCCATGCTAAGTCCAAGTGCCTGCTCTTATCTGTTCCATCACTGGCGACGCCACAGGTAAGTGTGGATGGAGTAGCCAGGTGAGATGGTCTCCAGGAAGCCCAGGCCAGGATCACTGATGGTAAGAGGGACATCCTTAGAGGAGCTGGAGAGAAAAAAATCTGAGAATCAACCCACTGAGGCCAACCGCCAACACTGCTCAGGCCCAAACCTGCCCTGTCTGTACCCAGCTTACCGGTTTAACACGACCACAACTGCAGAGCCATCAGGGCGTATCAGTGCCACGGTGTCCAAGTCATTCTTCTCACTGGCCACCAACCCCACTCTCTGGGATCCCTCGGGAATGAACTTGCTGAATGTGAAGACAGGCATCATTAGGGACTCTATCCCCGAGGGAACTGTCCAGTCAGGCTTTCCTCAGCATCATCTCTGCTCATGGGATCTACCAAAGCTACCTGGGGATGTACCATTACAGTCCCAGCTATGTGGGAGCCCTGGACAGGGAAATAGGAAATGACAGGTCCTCAGCCTCAACTGTGCTGCTGGGCCTTGGCCCTGTCCTCCTGTATCAGGACTCTAGCATCAGTCATCCAGGGATTATCTGTAGCTCTGATGCCACCTAGTCACTTCCTGCCTGCATGGTGCAACTGAGGAGTGTGCCCCTCCCAGGGTTTCCACCCTGAAAACCTTCCTGCACCTTCACGATATAGGATGATGTAAGCCTGATACAAAGGATAGGCCTGTCATGAAATGGGGATGCCCACCCACCCTCTACTCACCTGAAGTGGCCAAGATGGTAGAACATGGGCTGCTTGTAAAATGTGTCTTTGGGGATGTCTACAATGATGGGACTATCAACAAAGTTGCGGACCCAATTGGGCCCTCCTTCAGGATTCAGGGCAAGGTTCCAGTCAGTCCATCCAGCTACGTGGTAAAGGAGGTTCTAGAATAGAAGCAAGAGTAAAAGTTAAAAATGGGTAAGATACCCAGAGAAGATAGGTAAAAATTACATAAGGGAGCCGAGTGTTGGTGGTGCACACCTTTAATCCCAGCACTCGGGAGGCAGAGGCAGGTGGATCTCTGTGAGTTCAAGACCAGCCTGGTCTACAGAGCAAGTGCCAGGACACCCTCCAAAACAATACAGAGAAACCCTGTCTCGAAAAACCCAAATAATTATAATAATATAATAATAATAATAATAATTACATAAGGAGTTGGGGGCTAGGAATGGCTTGTTCTTTGAAGGAGTGTTCTGTCTCAATATCTGAGAAGAGGATTGTGAAGATGGAGGCATCTCCAGAGCTAAGAAATCTAAGACAGGTATGGCTGCCTGGGCCCAAACATGAAGAAAAAGAGTGATGGGGGGTGGGCCTAGGCCCTATCCCAAAGGATAGGAAATACTCTGATGACACCCTATGGAAGGCCTCACCATCCAGAGGGAACAGAGAAGATATGTGACAGATAAGGTTTTAGTTGGGGGGACGGGTGGGAGAAGGGAACTGGGATTGTCATGTAAAACAATCCTGTTTCTAATTCAAATAAAAAAGTTGGGAAAAAAAAAAAAAGAGAAAGAGTGATAGGGTATGCATGTCTGTGAAGAAAAAACGAGAACCAGGGCATCCCACAGTTGCCCAAAGAACAAGCTGCTCAGCTAGCTGAGAAGGAAAGCCTCTGTGCCTTTATGAGATTAGAAAGGGGTCTCAGGTGTCTGTCTTGAGAAAGAGACCGATGGCTCACCGTGATGATGCTGTGACTGTACTGCACCCCTCGACTCCAGGAGCCCAACCGGACACTCTGTTCCCAGAACTTGGAGCCCACACAGGCCTCTGAAGCAAAGAGCGTTGTGTTGGGGAACAAGCGGTGTGTCTCCCCTAAAGTGGGTTTAGCTGGAGCCAGGAAATCCATGTACCAGTGTACAGCAATGCCATGGACGTACTTAGCTGCCTCTGGGTCAGACAGCACCTGCACAGAATGATGGAAGGAGCATTAGGGAAGGGGGCCCCTGACCACAAGTCCTGCACAGAGGGCTCTGAAAGGAACTACGCATCCTGAGAAGTGGGCGGTAGGATGAAAGGGCTGGGAGTGATAAGACAACCATCCGGACATCCAGAGACAGTGGTGCCCTGGGCAGCCAGATCCAGCCTAGGGTGTTCCAGGAGTCTTTTGGGAACTGGTAAAGTGCTTGCCATGCAGCTGAGGGACCTGGCACGAAAGGGAGAGGTGGATCCCTGGGGCTCGGGCTAGCAAACAGCCTCATTTGTGAGGGACTCAGTCTCAAAAACCAAAACAAAGAACACACCAAAATCAGCTGCTCTTGAATTGTCATCTAAGGTCCACATCAGCACCTGCACGTACATAAAAAAGGAGTTGCGGGGCTGGAGACATAGCTCAGAGGTTAAGAGCACTGGCTGCTCTTCCAGAGGCTCAATCCCCAACAACCACATGATGGCTCACAACCATCCGTAGTGACATCTGGCTCCCTCTTCTGGCCTGCAGGCATACATGCAGGCAGAACAATGTATACAAAATAAATAAATAAATCATCTTAAAAGAAAAAAAAAAAAGGAGTTGAGAGTCCAGGTATGGTGGTGTGGGTCTTTAATCCCAGCACTCAGGGAAACAGAAGCAAGTAGATCTCTATGAGTTCAAGCCCTGCCTGGTCTAAATAGTTCTAGGTCAATTAGAGCTACACAGTGCAGTCCTGCTTAAAATAAATAAATAAATAAATAAATAAATAAATAAATGTGGGAGAAGTCAGGTGTGGCAGCTCATGCCTATAATCCCAGCACTTAAGAGGCAGGAGGGTGACCATAACTTCAAGGCCAGCCTGGTGTATATAGCAAGACCCTGTCTCCACCCTGGCAGAGGAAAGGTACCCTAAAACTGTAACCAGTCATTTTGGATGGTAACTTGGGTTCCACTAGGACACCCTGGGAAGTTCTAGACCTTACCACCTGTGCCCAGCGGGGCAGCAGCAAACGCTGATCATCGAGCATGAATAGCTGGACATCATGAGAACTGTTGGTAAGCGCGGGCCCTAGGTCACGGGCAATGAAGTCCCTCTGTTGTTCAGCAGTGAAGCCCAGGCATTGGAAGGGGTACCCAGTTATGAGCCCTGCAGAAGGCTCATTCTCTACTGTCACTGCCCAGAATTTTATCTTGTACATAGCATAAGCATCCAGAAACCTGCCAGGAGAGAAATGACAGGAACGATCAAGGCCAAGAAAATGGGCCAAGACCTTGGGAATAGTAAATTGACAATCTGAAAGGCACAGAGTGTAGAAAGATGAGCTGAGACACAGATCTGGAAGGGGAGCAGGTCAAAGGGTAGGATATAGACCAAGGTGTCCAAAAGAGAGGTTGGTACAGACCCCAGTCCCCAAGGCCCTGATGATCCCTTACTTGACAAAGTAATTGGCCCAGGTCCGGTGATAGACATCCCCTGCCTGACCCTTGAGTGACCCTTTCCCATTCACTGCTCCATTGGTCTTGAGCCAAGTGGGAGATGTCCAGGGACTGGCAAGGAGTGAGATGGGGCGTGGGGACATCTTCAGAGCTCGGTGAATCAGGGGTATCTGGAGACAGATGTCGTGGAGAGAGAGACACCCAGAATTGGAACACAAACTAGCCTAACCAGTGCATCAGGTCCAACTGCCGTCACCCACCCTCCTACCCCCAGGTCAAACAGGCTGCAGGAGAAGATTCTACCTAGATCTGCAGAAAGCTCTAGCCTGGACCTTCCCAGTCCCCAGACAGCAATACCAAGAGGTATCTGAAGCAACCAGAATGCCCACCTTGAGCTTGGTGTCTTCTTCTGTGAGGCTGAAGTTGGATAACTGGAAGTCATTAGGGGTGTCAGCATAGGTGTAGATTCGGATGGAGAAGTCACAACTGGCCATGGGCACCCGGATGATGTTATATTCAATTCCTGCAGAAAAGGATGGCCAAGATAGGGAAACCTGGCTCAATAGAGTATGGAGCTGAATGAGGTGGCACCATGACTGTAATGCCACACCTCTAGAGGCTAACAGATCCTTGTGAGTAGGCTAGTCAGGGCGAGAGGGAGAGAGAGAGAGGGGGGGGGGAAGGCAAGTGTGGAAATTGGCTTTAATCGTGTGTTAGTCCTCAATGGGGTCTCATTCAATACAGTCCCTTCTCCAAAGGGAATGGGGCATGGAACTGTAGGAACCAGAACCTGAGTGAAGAACAAGCCCCTCTTGAGCAGTTTTCATGCCCCCTTAAATACTTAGAATATTAAAAATCTATCTCGTTTCAGTCGCACTGAGGTACAAACACTTGGGGACTTGTGATCCCAGCTCTTGGGAGACCAAGTCAGGAGGAGTTTGAGGCCAGTCACGGCAAGGCTGATACAGAAAGAGGGAGGAAAGGAACAGAGGGGAAGAGGAAAGAGAGAGGCAGGATGGAGATGTAGCTCAGGTTGCAGAAAGCTTGCCTAGAATGCATAAAGCCCCAAGTTCCAGCACTGAGTAAACAGGACGCAATCTGTAGTCCAGCACTCAGGAGGATCAGGAGTTCAAAGTCATCAGTGACTACACAGTGAATTTGAATCTGGAATACATGAGACCTGC